TTACCCAAGAATAGGCACATCCGGCCAAATGAATGATTTCATCAACTGTTTTATTATTACCCATAATATCTGATTTGCAGTCTTTCTAAAAATTACATAAAAATAAGAATAGATTTAGAATATTCTTTAAAATTGCTAATTTTTTATATAAAATGTCTTCAATTCTTACAAATATAATGTCAAGCATTGAACAAATCAATAAAGAAGATGATATGAGAAACCAAATCAACACACGGATATAAATTGTCAACTGTTGTCAAATAATTAATAAAAAAGTTGAGTACTGTAATCAAGTTAAAACAAATAAGAAATACCTGGTGTGATTTATAAAAGGTGTAAAATAGAGAAATGCAAACAATGAATAGAGTGAAGAAAAATGAAATTTTCATTTCGTAGAAAATATCCATTTGAGGAATGATTAACTTGATTGCCATCATTGTTATGCATAGAGCGCCCGAACTAAACAAATACAAACTGAAGAATGGGTCCGACTGTTGGGCAAACATTTTCTCGGTGTTAAAGATTGACGACTCGTTTTTCCCATCCAAAGACTTTTTGCCAATCAGTCCCGAAGTAAAACACAGAAGGAATGGATGAATATCTTGCGGATGTAACCAATGACTATAAAAATAGTGTTATAAATGGGTAATAATTTTTTAATTCTATCAATATTTGGCATTTTTATTGCGGACCTTTTAATGTTGAGCGGCATCTTCTCGATGGCAAAGTCCATAAATCTATTGACAGAGTTAATCATTTCTCGATATCTATTTAAACTATAAAAATATTTTAAGTATTAAAAGCATTTCATGAATATAATAATAATAAAACCAAACCTCGACTCCAATATAGTTGTGGGAATTCGTGAAGAATGAGATCCCGGCTCAACAAACGATCGCCTCTAATATTTTGGGTACGAATATTAAATTAGAAAAAGTTTATTACAAAATGTAAAACACGACTCACTCTAAGTTTGTTGATCTGTGCCTTAAGATTATCGGTTTGTCTTTTCCTCTTACTGTTAGGCGACGCAGAATTTGTTCGGTTATGAGAAATGACATCTTTCTTNCACAAGAGTTTGACAAGAGTTTGACATTTTATATAATGTAACCTCAATTCTTTGATTCACACTTTTCTACACGCATTTTAAACAAATATCAATTGATTGTAAATATTCATATAATAAAAATATTAAAACTTGATATATGTTTTATATCAAATAACACCTATGTTATATATCTATTTAATTTTTAACCACAATTCAGTATGAATAATGTGGTTTATAGGATCGTTCGATATTTAGTCAACATTAAACATTGATTTATAAATTGTGATTTTATTTTATCTGATGTCAATATTCTATCACCACATATGACAGGATAAAGAAGATAAACAGTATAATTAAATATTTATATTGAATTCAAATAGATTTTTTAAAACTATAAATATAATCAACAATAAATGAAACATATAACTTAACGTAATATATAATATTTATTATTGCCGTACTTCTAAATAAAGTAGAAATTGTTTTTATTTAACTATAATTATAGTTTAATCATATTTTATAAACATTTATATTTAAAGTGCAAAAGGGGTACAAATTGCTAGTTGTCTCATACAAATTGTTGGTCTTTATTACCACAAGTTAATTTAAGTGTTTAAACTGCTGGCAGTGCCCAATGTGTCCAATGATGGGTTCGGGTGTTGTGTAGCAATAATGTCCACCCGTATTGATACAAACAATTACTAACTTTATTTAGAAGTACGGCAATAATAAATATTATATATTACGTTAAGTTATATGTTTCATTTATTGTTGATTATATTTATAGTTTTAAAAAATCTATTTGAATTCAATATAAATATTTAATTATACTGTTTATCTTCTTTATCCTGTCATATGTGGTGATAGAATATTGACATCAGATAAAATAAAATCACAATTTATAAATCAATGTTTAATGTTGACTAAATATCGAACGATCCTATAAACCACATTATTCATACTGAATTGTGGTTAAAAATTAAATAGATATATAACATAGGTGTTATTTGATATAAAACATATATCAAGTTTTAATATTTTTATTATATGAATATTTACAATCAATTGATATTTGTTTAAAATGCGTGTAGAAAAGTGTGAATCAAAGAATTGAGGTTACATTATATAAAATGTCAAACTCTTGTCAAACTCTTGTGATTTCGTTTTCGTCGAAATCAAATTGTGTTTTAACTAAATATGTTTTCAGTTCTCCCTTTCCCTTCACAAATATGAGTCCTCTCTCTTCCAAAACAAACTCATTTGAATTATCGCTTTCAGTCAATATGTTTGCCGCCTCTTCGGTCACTTGAATGCGTCCCATAATACCCGTGCTCTCCATTCTTGAGGCCACGTTCACTAGAAGTTAAAAACATTGTCATAGCATGAATGCAGACAAAGATTGTGTCATATGGTGCTATTGCTTACCCGTATCGCCCCAAATGTCATATTGAGGTTTGACAGCACCGACTACACCAGCGATCACAGGACCCACTGCTATACCGACTCGCAATTTAAAGTCTTGGAGCGCATCCTTGTTTAGTTTCTTCAATGTCTCCATCAGTGCAGTCGCGAAACGAACCAAAACTATTACATTACTTCTTAAGTCTTCAACACTAATCTCACTCTAAAACATAATTCACAAAATAAGGCATCAATTATTGAGTTTAATAACAAATTGATAAGCGCTTACATCTGCAGATCCTCTGCCGGGTTGTAGACCAGCGGCTGCCATATAAGTGCTGCCAATTGTTTTAATTTTCTCAATCTTTTGAAAATTTACGTGAGAAAGCATCTAATTGTTGAGAATAAATATTTAGTCACATAATCAATGAAAATCATGTACAGAATTACTTGATCAAAGTTAAGGATAATCTCATTGAGTAATTGTAAGCATTTGAGTCCCTCTTCATTCATGAAATTTTCTGAATAAAATTGTGAATAATTAGGAATCGACGCAAACATAACGGCACACGAATCGTATGATTCGTGATAGAGTTGATCGGCGGATACGGAGCTGTTATAGAGGTATCGCTGGGCGACGTGAACCGGAAGGATATTCTCCAATAAAATCCTATTAATCTCTCCGATTGTCTGCATTTCAATCTTCTCGTCGACGAGTCTATTCGTCCACTTGAAGTCCAACCGAAATATGTATTCAATTTGTCTGTCGACCACATGTAGTAATACCGTAACCATTACTACATAATAGATGTGTCCAATCGATGGATCAAATCCTATATTACTAATCCATAAGTTGTTCTCCGCGTTGCTCACGATCTGATATATTGAGCATTTATTATAGAAAAGTATTACATAAGTAATTACGCCAAACAAATGCATCAAAAATTTAAGCCATAAATGAATTCTAATAAATAGACTGACGCCAGTCATCGCCAAAATCACACACATTGTATAATCCTTTAAAATATAAATTATTAATATTTAATACCATTACTTCACTATTTAAATTTTTACCCAAGAATAGGCACATCCGGCCAAATGAATGATTTCATCAACTGTTTTATTATTACCCATAATATCTGATTTGCAGTCTTTCTAAAAATTACATAAAAATAAGAATAGATTTAGAATATTCTTAAAAATTGCTAATTTTTTATATATAATGTCTTCAATTCTTACAAATATAATGTCAAGCATTGAACAAATCAATAAAGAAGATGATATGAGAAACCAAATCAACACTCGGATATAAATGGTCAACTGTTGTCAAATAATTAATAAATAGTTGAGTACTGTAATAAAGTTAAAACTAATAAGAAATACCTGGTGTGATTTATAAAAGGTGTAAAATAGAGAAATGCAAACAATGAATAGAGTGAAGAAAAATGAAATTTTCATTTCGTAGAAAATATCGATTTGAGGTATGATTAACTTGATTGCCATCATTGTTATGCAAAGAGCGCCCGAACTAAACAAATACAAACTGAAGAATGGGTCCGACTGTTGGGCAAACATTTTCTCGGTGTTAAAGATTGACGACTCGTTTTTTCCATCCAAAGACTTTTTGCCAATCAGTCCCGAAGTAAAACACAAAAGGAATGGATGAATATCTTGCGGATGTAACCAATGACTATAAAAATAGTGTTATAAATGGGTAATAATTTTTTAATTCTATCAATATTTGGCATTTTTATTGCAGACCTTTTAATGTTGAGCGGCATCTTCTCAATGGCAAAGTCCATAAATCTGTTGACAGAGTTAATCATTTCTCGATATCTATTTAAACTACAAAAATATTTTAAGTATTAAAGCATTTCATAAATATAATGTAATACTAAGAATTGTAAGAATTATAATAAAATCAAACCTCGACTCCAATATAGTTGTGGGAATTCGTGAAGAATGAGATCCCGGCTCTACAAACGATCGTCTCTAATATTTTGGATACAAATATTAAATTAGATAAAGTTTATTACAAAATGTAAAACACGACTCACTCTAAGTTTGTTGATCTGTGCCTTAAGATTATCGGTTTGTCTTTTCCTCTTACTGTTAGGCGACGCAGAATTTGTTCGGTTATGAGAAATGACAAAAAGTTTATTACAAAATGTAAAACACGACTCACTCTAAGTTTGTTGATCTGTGCCTTAAGATTATCGGTTTGTCTTTTCCTCTTACTGTTAGGCGACGCAGAATTTGTTCGGTTATGAGAAATGACATCTTTCTTAGCAATCAAATACCCGACCTCTCCCTCCGTTATCTTTTCTTTAATATTAAAAAATTTAATTTTTGTGTTTTTATTTTATTTGGTTTTCAAAACCTTTGATTATATAATCTTCGATTTGTGAGGGGAAGAGTAGATCAAACGTGGTTTGTGTGATGTGAACATAACCGGGCACTCCGTTGTGCTCCATAGACGAGGCCAACATACTGTCCAACGACCAGATGTCATATTGCCATTTGTGAAGACCCATAATACCTGATAAAACCATTCCCGAGTGAACACCGATTCTCATATCGACATCAATTTCTCTCACTTCGCGAACAGTTCTGAAATCATTATTAAGTTATAATAATAATAAACATATGAATAAACATAATTAACCAATTAGTAAACCTAATTATTTTAATCATCTCGAGTCCCATTCGCACAGAATTGATGGCATGATTTTCATCATATTCTGGAAGTCCTGAAACACAATAATAACAATCGCCCAAAAGTTTGATTCTTAAACAATTATTTCGTTCAGCGCTTTCATCAAATCGACCGAAGAGTTCATTAAGAGTTTCGACCAAATCGTTGGCACTCAGAGATGCCGTCAATACCATTGAGTTAACGATATCGGCGTAAAGAATGGACACATTTTTATATTTTTTAACGTAAAGCTTATTAAAAGGTCGCATTGGTATGGATTCTTGTCGTGCGATCTGTGATATTGTGGTGCGAATATCATTGCGGACGTCATCGATGAGATGTTTGGGAAAGCAAGAGCTTAGAAGCTGTTCCTGTTGTTCGTGTTCTAACTCTAGTTTAGAAGTCGATTCAATACAAGACCTATGATTTATAAAAGCCTTTCGGATTGCAATCTCTAATAGAAAATTCATATAAAAACCAAAGGCAGCGCTAAATGAGTAAAAGAATAGGTCTGCGATTGTGAACCGAAGAATGCATTGGGATTTGCAATTCATGTCCATTCTCTGCCTGAATGTAAGCGTTAATTCAATGGCTATTATTATAATAGTAGCCAAACACGAGTATATTCTTGAACAAAACGGCACTAATATATGATTTGCAACCAATATGTAAAATGTGGGACGAATTTGTTGCACAGGNAAATGTAAGCGTTAATTCAATGGCTATTATTATAATAGTAGCCAAACACGAGTATATTCTTGAACAAAACGGCACTAATATATGATTTGCAACCAATATGTAAAATGTGGGACGAATTTGTTGCACAGGGGATGAATGATTGGTGTCTTGTAAAGGGAATAGAGTGGACCCGTATTCTTCAAATAGCATCGCCAACAGTACTGTAATGCCGGCCACTGTTCGTGATATTCTCGGCCGCAATAATATTTCCTCCAAACAAGTGATGGCGAAAAATATGATGAATACTATTAGAGATGATATTTTAATGAGGAATATTCCAGGAAATGAATCGTCGTTTTTCTGATCAAATGATAATTATAAAAGCAATTTATAAACTCTGTAATAGACTCTTGAAAGAGATAATGAATATTAAATCACTTTAATCCACAATAAATTATTGACAATAATGTAAATGTTTTATGCGATTATAAATGAAAAAGTAAAATAAAGTAATAGCTAGTTTATAATAAGCAAACATACCTTATCGAAAAAGTATACAATAATGGCAATGATATTAAATAAAATATTAAGTATGAGGAGAACCATGAAGAAGGTGTGCTGTAATCTCGACTGGTATTTGAGAAACATTTTGCCGACATCTTTGGACTTGAATTCCCTCTTCAATGCTCTCCACGACCAGTGCTCTGAATCACCCGAATATGTCGAGTGATTGCTTACAACACTCTTTCGATCATTTCTATCGAGTGAATCCAATTTAATAAGAGTTGTCTGTTTGGCCAGAATCTCGACCGTATTGGCAGACATTCGCCTCACAAAACTGGCCGTCTGTGAGGACTTGCCTCTAGACAACTGACCGCTCATTCTTAATGGCTATCGCTTAACATTCTATACGATAAAAGTTAAACAAACTCTATAATAAACTCTATAACAATTACAGAGAATATATTTTCATTCATTGCATGAATGACAGCAATGAATGAATTATGAATTAACTAAAGAGAGGTAATTAAGAGAAAATAACAATTATCTTATCTCTGGTTTATTTCAATCGTCAGAGAATCACATAATAATAACAATAAGTATATATTCAAGATTTTTTACAAAGCATTTCGAAGATAATGTTTTTATTTCTAGTGTTTTACAATTTCTTTATAAGTACAAATATTAAAATATTTTTATAACTATTAATAATAATTAGTTACATGAAATCAAAATATTAAATTAGTAAAACACTTATAAATAATATAAAATTAAAGAAAAATATCAAATTCTAAATTAAAATTGTCATTAATTATTAAACAACAATTTTGTTGAATCAATTTTGCATTAAAAGTATAAAGCTAGATATTAAGCTATAAAGGTATAAAGCTATAAAGATACAACAAAATATATATTCAACAAAATGAGTATTAAATACAACATAACTATTAGACAAGGTTTACACAGCGATGTTATACAATAACCGTAATTCGGGTGATGCATAGGAATCCTATGATGGGATTAGCATTGCTATAGACTTAGCATTTCCATATACTTAACATTGTCCATAGGATTATCATTGCCATATACTTAGCATTACCCATGTCCATAGACTTAGCATTAATTCCATACAATCAACATTAACCATAGAATTAGCATTAGTCCCATAGTCTTAACACTGTTCATAGGATTAGCATTGCCATAGACTAGCATTACCCATGTTAAACCTATGTCATAGACTTAAGCTGTAATCGCATATAAACCCATGTTAAAGCGTCCCCGTGTTAATCCTATGGAAGAATCCCCATACTAAAGTATAAACATAGACTTAAGTTGGGATGTCATGTTAAATTCCATAGGGAGGGGAGGGATAGGGCCGAGATTCTATAAACTACAGTCTTCATAAATGAATTGTGGTTAAAAACTGGTGTAATTATTATAAGCTTACAAGTTAGTACATTATTACACGATTTTCTATGAATTAATCTCTGATTACTCTTCCGCTCCAATTATATTATAATTCATATTTTATCACAAAAAACAAATATAAACCAAAAGTTCTTGAAATCTTTGATTATCTCAATGTTGTAAATAAACACTCGTTTTAATTGTTTGGGAATATTTAGTACTTTATGATTGTTTAGCATTTTTATTGTTCATTATATTTAGAAACACACCGAGACTTGACTTAATCTGTATCCCAAATATGGTATAAATCATTGCATAATGTATGAAAATATCTACAATANTAATTGTTTGGGAATATTTAGTACTTTATGATTGTTTAGCATTTTTATTGTTCATTATATTTAGAAACACACCGAGACTTGACTTAATCTGTATCCCAAATATGGTATAAATCATTGCATAATGTATGAAAATATCTACAATATAGTAAACTGTTGCTAAGTCTATGGCAATGCTAATCCTATGGGTAATGCTCTGTCTGTGGGATTCTTTAAGCATCACCCGAATTGGGGTTAAGCCATAGCATAGCATAT